CTCTTAAAAATATAACAGCAGTGTTAAAATGTTTTATGCTGCTCTGTGTTCAGGAAATTAATGTGTTCTTTTATATTAAAATGTTTAAGTATTTTCATAAAACAGATCCTGAAATCTGATTGGCTGAGCCACGTTCGAAGCCATTGTAAAATCCACGGCTATGACGCCTCACAACAGCTGAACTCTCTCACTGCATCAGGGCGTGAAACACCCTTCTGCTGTTAATGGACTAATCTTTGACTCTAACGCGGATCGCACGGAGCACCGACTGTACTGATGAAGTAAGAACCCGTTTCTGTTTAAACTGAGGGGCTGGCGACTTATGTTCTTAACTAGAACCAGGCTGGTCAGCTAGCTAACAGGCTAAAAGACAGACAGGCTAAACAACTCCATCATTCTTATCACAGACTTGAATTAAAGCACTTACAGTTTGATTCACTGTAAAATGGCAGAGTAAAAGTCTAAAGAATGTCACCTGAATGTCTTACACGCTGTAATTGTCCCTGTTTCAGTCAGAAGTAGCGTCAAACCCAGGCTGAATCCCAAACGGCTCTGTACTTCCTAAATAGTGAGCTGTGTAACATTAAGTTTAGAACTTCTATCTTCTGCTGTCAGATAGTGACTGCTTGTCGAGTGTGGATGTGGATGAAGCCCAAATGACCATTTTTAGCTGTATTTTGCTCTGTTGTGCTGCAGGATCCAGTATTTAAACTCCTACATAGTGCATTATGTAGGGAGCAGGGACCTGTTCAGATTCAGCCCCAGCGTAAAAAAAGTGGCGTCATCAGACTGGCAGAGACTCTCGGAGGTGATCTGGTGAACAAAAAAGTACTTATGAACTGAAAGTATTTACATTAAACAGTGCTGTGTTATCATATGTTCACTGTTATACGAAAAAAGTTTTAAAAATCATGAAAAGTCTGCAGTTTACAGTGCAGATCAGCCAAGACATGTTTGGTGTCTGAAGTCTCCTTCTACAGTTTTAGCTCGAGCTATGAGGCTAATGTTGCTGGTAAGTAGTTGGAGCTGATATCCCACCAATTAACATGATGCTAACTGGAGGCCTAAACCATCACACAGTTGCTTTAAGCCATGTGGAGCTGTTCAATAATCTCCAATAGACTTCATTACGTGGTGTCTGACACTGTATGACTCACTGTTATCTATAAACATGGACTACAGTACATTAGCATAGCTAAAAACAGTAGCAGCCACCTGGAAGACTGAATTGTCCACACACTCTTGTAAGTTTGGCGTAAAGGACAGTTGTATAAATGCAATTTTTTTGCCCAACTGTTCATTTAACATGGTGCCCAGTAGGTGGCACTGTGGCACCAGCAATAAAGGTCACATCCTTCTGGGTCGTGGGGGGGAGCTGGAGCCTATCCCAGCAGTCATTGGGTGGTAGGCAGGATACACCCTGGACAGGTCGCCAGTCCATCGCAGGGCAGACAGACAGACATACATATACAATCACACACACATTTACACCTAGGGGCAATTTCAGCATGTCCAATCAGCCTGACTGCATGTTTTTGGACTGTGGGAGGAAACCGGAGTACCCGGAGGAAACCCACACAGACACGGGGAGAACAGGCAAACTCCACACAGAAAGGACCCCGGTCGCCCGGCCAATAAAGGTCATTTAGACTGAAATCACACAACAAAAGACAGAAAAAAGGAAACTCCAAGAACATTGTGAGTTTATTTTTTCTTGTTGATTATCTGTCTCACATCCAAAAGAAACAAAGGTCTTCTTAAATAAAGAGAACTCTGAAAGAACCCACAAACAGAGGAAACTATTACAGACTTATCAGTCCAAAAGGATTCAGTGGCATCTGATCAACAGGGAATTATCAGAGCGTTAACATCTCTGAACAACTTATTAGGACAGGATAAACAGAGGATGGTCATATTTACATATTTACAGTCATAAACACAAATACAGAGATTACAGGGATTTACACGCACGACACAGAATAGTTTGGTTTGTTTAAACTGCATAGAGTTTGACCAGCAATCCACAGTGTTTATTTAGGGAGGGCTCACTTTTCAGCATTTTTTAAAGTGGAATTCCTCTGATTTTTCAAAATTTCTGCATAACGAAGTGGTTAACATGTAAACAGAGTCATTCAGAGTGGTTTGGTGTGAAACGCTCCGTTCTAGAGAGTCAGAATTGTTCACAGTGGTGGTGATAGGAACCAGACGTCCACCTCTAAAAGCTCCCTCACAGAAAGTTTCTACATGAAATGGTTATGAATTCACTGCCTGATGACTGAGACACTGTTTTACGATAGCTTTGAGAAAATTTTGGCCTTAAAATCTATTCATGGTGGAGGGATACATAATATGCAGGGCGCCGTGAGGCAAAATAGTCCCCAAAGAAAACGTATCATTTTCAGATTTATCACTATTTTATCATCAACATTCCATATAAAACCCCAGAAAATACGTGTAGGTTCACTGGTGGACCCCGAGTTCACATCAAACCACACTGAATGACTTTGTTTACATCTCAAACACTGTTTTTTTTCATAGAAAGTTTTAAAAAATTGGTGGAATTTCCCTTTAAACCTCTTTTAAACTAAGGATACTTTTTCTCTGATTGATAAACTGCATCTAAGTGCCTGTTGTAACATTCAGAGATCATTAAGAAAAGCCAGAAGAGAGTTTAAATTTTGGCTTGTGCTTTATTTCCAGCACAGTGTTATTCAGTAAGGCTTTAACTCAGCGGCTCCTGATAGATTCATCTAATCTAACACACCTGATTAAACTCATCAGTTAATCGAAAAGCCCTTCATGAGTTTTGTCAAGTGTTCTAGAGCAAAAAAACAAAAAACAAGATCACCACAGATGATAACGCTGACGTGCTTCTCAGAACTGTAAGAGGAACGGAAAGCCTCTTGACTCAAATCACACTTACAGTAGCAGCCAATGGGCAGTCGCTGATTCTACCGTGAACAAGTTTAAAAACGTTTTTGTAGAACAGAAAAATCTGGTAATTCGAGCTTACACAGGTTCCTGCCTGATAGACAGAGATGTTCGCAAGCCGAGTCAGAGTCGAGTCTGAGTCACTATGGCTTGATTCTGAGTCAAGTCTCGAGTCCGTGTCAAGTCTCTGCGGGCCTCTAGGGTGCAAGTCCGAGTTGAGTCTCGAGTCCCTAGGGCTTGAGTCTAAGTCTCTGGGGAGCAAATCTGAGTCGAGTCTCGAGTCTCTGAGGTATGAGTCAGACTCGAATCTTTGAGGTGCGAGTCTGAGTCTCAGTAGAGAATTTTAGTTTAGTTTTGTTATTATCTGTTATTATCTTACATTGTTGAAATGTAAATCCAACAATAAACCTGTCGGGTTCAACACGACTTTAAATAACGAGACTTTTATTATAGAAGAACCTTCAGTCTGAAGAACAGAACTGAAGCGCTACAAGCTGTAAATGTTAGTCATATCCAGTTCCACTAGTTAGGACTCCCCAATCGCCCAATACCAGAGCCGGTTTATGAGGATCCTGGCCACTTCCTATTTCCCTCATTGTATCAAAAACAGGACTGCAAGACACCAGAGGGCGCCAGTGAATGGAACTCAACGGCTAAAAACAAAAAGTAAAATAGTTTCTAATCACTCGCCCAGAACTTTCCTTTAATTTTAGAAAGCAGAAGGATGGATTTCACTAAAAAAGCAAAGAAATCTTACCTGTTTGTTTCCTTTTTTCTACAGCAAACGAGATTTGGGCAGCAGGACGCTAACATTACTGCTACTGAGTGCTGATTGGCGAGCAGAGCAGCTCATTGGCTGTTCGCGCTCACTGACATCATGAATGTACATGAGGCGCCGTTTTAAACTCAAGTTTAAAAGCTCTTAAAAATATAACAGCAGTGTTAAATGTTTTATGCTGCTCTGTGTTCAGGAAATGAATGAATTCTTTTACATTAAAAATGTTTAAGTATTTATAAACTATGATTTTACTCAAATGCTCAATATCAACCCATTCATTTTGGACTCGCTCGGGAGCGCCCTCTAGTGGTTGAGAAACCTGGAAGACATTACACGGTGATGATTCTCCTCTCTACAAGTTCTCCAACGATACCACCAGCACTAGGAGGGTGAAGGCAAACACTGGCTTCCTCCGAGAGCTGTGAAGCATCTTTTCGAACTGCTGCTACCACAACGTGATTGAACACGCTTGAAGGAGAACACTAAGCTCCAGTTCTGTTACGTCAGCTAACAGACGCCTGCGCTGGGCCATCTCACCCACCCAAAGCGGGGCGCTTGTTGTGCTCTATGGACTCTTGGACTCCCGGCCACAGATGGCTGTAGCATCACCAGGACCAACACTTAGACGGTTGCGCCACTTGGGAGCCCCAGTGAACACAGTTTTACAGGAAAGACAAAATAACTTGAAATGGTTGGTTAGTCTGTAGTTTGTAGAGCAAATATGCAAGATAGCTAAAGCAACAATTACCCAGCTGAAGTTTTATTACGTTCTAAAGGTGATCTGTAATTTACAAAAAACATCTGAAGAACCCTTTCAGGATGCAAAGAACCCTTTACTCATGCAGCGGGTTCTTTGAGTGCTCATGGTTCTATATAGAACCATTTTCTTTGCTAAAGAACCCTTGAAGAACCATCTTTCTCAAGAAATGGCTCTTCAGATTGATGGAGCTTTATATGTGCTGTAGATGGTTCTATATAGAACCTTTTTGGAAAGGGTTTCTACTGTTACAAGCTTGACATCATTATAATAGCAGAACACTTTTGAGTGCTAAATAGAACCCTTTTTAAAAGGATTCTACGTAGAACCATCTATAGCACATTCATGCAAATTTTGCATTAATCTGAAGAACCCTTTCATGATGGAAAGAACCCTTTAATAATGCAAAGGGTTCTATAAGTGTTCATGATTTTATTTAGAACCAGTTTTCTTACTAAAGAACCCTTGAAGAACCATCTTTTTCAAGAAATCGTTCTTCAGATTGATGGAGAATGTGCTGTAGAGGGTTCTATATAGAACCTCTTTGGAAAGGGTTCTTCTATTGTTACACGCTTGACATGGTTACAACAGCAAAACGCTTCTGGGCACTAAATAGAACCCTTTTCAAAAAGGTTCTGTAGAGAACCATCTATAGCACATTCATGCAAATGTTGCATCAATCTGAAGAACCCTTTCATAATGCAAAGAACCCTTTAATCATGCAAAGGAATGTGATCCGAAATGTACAAAAACAAGCTAAATTAGCTACTACGCTAGTTAGCATACTTGCTACATTCTTGCTATACAAACTACAGACTGACCGACAGTTTCGAAGCTGTTTTGCCTCTTTGCTTTAATCACTGCATTTACCGTGTGTAGCACTTTAGTTCTGTTCTTGAGGCTGAAGGTTCTTCTATGATGACGGCTGGTTATTTAAAGCCGTGTCAAACCTGACGCTGCTGACGAGACTGCAGTAACGAGTGCGCGTGACCGTAGCATTAGGGGTGGCGTTCCTACTTCTTAACCAGTTTTACATGTGTTTTTGTCCCCAGGCTAAATTTAATGAGTGCAAGTTGCAAGTCAGTCAGCATGCGACCCAAGTCCGAGTCACCGACTCGAGTCAACATCTCTGAATAGCTGAAAAAAAGTCTCGGAAAAGTGAAAGTAACCACAACTACTTTTTTTTTTACTGTCACTCCAGTGATGTAAAGTTGGATGAAACCTCTTAACCCTCTACTGCGCGCATTATGAGAGCAATTAAAAAAAAATCAATTCACTTTTCTTGCATAAAGTAGTCCTTGATTTATTTTTTCGGACCCGATTATTAAATTCAAAATGCAGGGGTCCTTTTGGAGTACGTTGCCTTGAGGCAACATTGTGCGACAATGGGAAGAAATGATATAGAGCAGTGTTCCCTGAAGTGGTGAGACCTGGCTTAATCCATTTCACTGTCGCAGGGTGTTGCTTCTAGGCAACAAATCTATTTCTGCAAAATCTCATGAAAAAAAATTGATTTAAAAAGTGGTTTACAGAGATAGTATGACCAAGCACATGCTTTTTATTGACGTACACAAACTCTTCCCTTTATTGTTAACACTATCGTTGTCTTTAAATATGTGTAATGTTATTGTAAAGTGAGGGACATGAGTTTGTTGCCCTGAGGCAACATTGTTCAATAGAGGGTTAAGAACAGGTTCTCAGCCTCATCCGAACACCTGTAATTGATAGATTCGAATGGCTGTAATGTAAAAGTTCTGTTACACAGTCAAAAAATCCAAAGGTTTGTTCACAGAATGCAGCAACTACCCATTGACTATTATTATAAAAGAGTTTAGAATCTGTTCTTTTACAAAATAACCGATCTTACAGTACAAACTAAAGATCAGGTTCGATTTTTTTGGGATATTCCTTTAATTTCTGCCCACTGTAATGACCATTATGATTTATGAGGAGGTTTCAATAATCCAGCACCAGTTGTGATCCCAGCTGTACTGTGTGATGGAACGTAGCCCTTTATTCCCAAACACGGGAATCCCTCCGTATCTTCACGAGCCGCCAACTTCAATGTACCAGCACCATAGAAATCGGTGCTGAACTCAATGCAGACCAACACTTTCAGTATGGACATGTTTACAGAAATACTGGGGGAAAAAAACAAACAAAAAAAATCAAAAGATATTTTGGCAGCCAGCACAGATAAGTGTCACCGTGGATGTGCTTTCCAGTTTAGATCAGAGTTAATGGTAACTCTTCCTTGTGCTTTGACAACGTGAATCATGTCCACAAAGTTCAAGTCGAATCTAGAGTTTATAAGAGAAATTGACACAGCTGTAGTTCCTGGGCTCCACCACCGGGTGGCGGCGTTGTATCAGTGTTTACTCACAGGCGGCTCAGAAGTTGAGTTTGGTGATGGGTCTCTCTCTGCTGGTCTCTGCGCCCTGGTTGTTCGGTCTCTTGCGGTTTCGCTTCATTTTGGACAGGTCTTTGTCGAACACCTCTCCGGAGCGGAGCGCGGACACCAGGTCGTCAAACTCCCCGCCCTCCTCGCCGTTCTCCTTCGCTTTCCGAGCCTGGCGCTCCTTCTCCCTCTGCTCCTTCAGCTGATGAACAACAGAGGCATTGAGAGAAGCTGGTCAACCTCAGTGACTGCTGTACTCTCTTAAAAAAGATGGTTCTTCAAGGGTTCTTTAGTAAAGAAAATGGTTCCATGTAGAACCATGAACTCTCAAAGAACTCTTTGCATGATTAAATGTTAAATGTGCTGTAAATGGTTCTATATAGCACCAAAAAAGGGTTCTACTGTTAGAAGCTTGACATCATTACAATAGCAGAACCCTTTTCAAAAAGGGTCTATATAGAACCATCTGTAGCACATTCATGCAAATTTTGCATCAATCTGAAGAACCCTTTCAGGATGCAATGAACCCTTATGCAACAGGTTCTGTGAGTGTTCATGGTTCTATATAGAACCATTTTCTTTACTAAAGAATCCCTGAAGAACCATCTTTTTCAAGAACTCGTTCTTTAGATTGACTGAGAATGTGCTGTAAATGGTTCTATATAGCACCAAAAAAGGGTTCTTCTATTGTTACAAGCTTGACATCATTACAATAGCAGAACCCTTTTCAAAAAGGGTCTATATAGAACCATCTATAGCGCATTTATGCAGATTTTGCATCAATCTGAAGAACCATTTCATGATGCAAAGAACTCTTTAATCATGCAAAGGGTTCTTTGAATGTTTATGGTTCTATATAGAACCATTTTCTTTACTAAAGAACCCTTGAAGAGCCATCTTTTTCAAGAAATCGTTCTTTAGATTGACTGAGCATGTGCTGTAAATGGTTCTATATAGCAACTTTTTTGGAAAGGGTTCTTTTATTGTTACAAGCTTAACATCGTTACAATAGCAGAACCCTTTTGGGAGCTAAATAGAACCCTTTTCAAAAAGGTTCTTTATAGAACCATCTATAGCACATTCATGCAAATTTTGCATCAATCTGAAGAATGCTTTCATGGTGCAAAGAACCCTTTAATCATGCAAAGGGTTCTTTGAGTGTTCATGGGTCTATAGAGAACCATTTTCTTTACTAAAGAACCCTTGAAGAGCCATCTTTTTCAAGAAATGGTTCTTCAGATTGATGCAGAACGTGCTGTGGATGGTTCTATATAGAACCTTTTTGGAAAGGGTTCTATTGTTACAAGCTTGACATTGTTACAATAGCAAAAACCCTTTTGGGCACTAAATAGAACCCTTTTCAAAAAGGTTCTTTATAGAACCATCTATAGTACATTCATGCAAATTCTCCATCAATCTGAAGAACGCTTTCATGGTGCAAAGAACCCTTTACTCATGCCATGGGTTCTGTAAGTGTTCATGGTTCTATATAGAACCATTTTCTTTACTAAAGAACCCTTGAAGAACCATCTTTTTCAAGGGTGTAGGCATAGAAATCTTAGCCTTCTATACTCTTAAAAAAGACCTTCTATCACTTTGACCACCTCTTTGTTCAGATTGCCAGATTTTACATGTGAGAGAGAACTCGAAGGTCAGCGCAGTGACCCTGCATGATGCCTCTAACTGTAAGCCTATACCTGAGCCTCCATGCGTGCCCTGCGCTCCTCCTCCTCTTTCTTTCGCTGGGTGTTCTCATTGTCCTGCCTGGCCTCAGTGAAGGCCTGCAGGAACTGGTCAAAGATGCCGAAGAAATCATCAGGCTGCATTTTGTTGGAGTCCTCTCCAAAGTGCTTCACCGCCTTCTGGAACTGGAGAGAGAAGAAAAGCTGCTTTACAGTCTGACGGTAATAATTGTGGAGTGATTTTAATCCAGTGTGAATCTGCAGTGTGTGTAGTTTTACAGTCTGACAGTAATAATTGTGGAGTGATTTTAATCCAGTATGAATCTGCAGTGTGTAGTTTTACAGTCTGACGGTAAAAATTGTGGAGTGATTTTAATCCAGTATGAATCTGCCGTGTGTGTAGTTTTACAGTCTGACGGTAAAAATTGTGGAGTGATTTTAATCCAGTATGAATCTGCAGTGTGTGTAGTTTTACAGTCTGACGGTAAAAATTGTGGAGTGATTTTAATCCAGTATGAATCTGCAGTGTGTGTAGTTTTACAGTCTGACAGTAATAATTGTGGAGTGATTTTAATCCAGTATGAATCTGCAGTGTGTGTAGTTTTACAGTCTGACAGTAATAATTGTGGAGTGATTTTAATCCAGTATGAATCTGCAGTGTGTGTAGTTTTACAGTCTGACGGTAATAATTGTGGAGTGATTTTAATCCAGATTTCCTTTAATTTCAGATTTTCAACCATTTTACCATCATATTGCTGCATCTCCTAGTTCTGTCTATACTCATTGTGCTTTTAGACCTCATACCACTCAGCGCCTGCTCTCATGTAAATACAACAAATCTCTCTTATTTGCCATGTAAATATGCAAACAGATATACTTTTATTTCTACTCTCTTATACTTCAACTTATGTCTATTTTTATTTCTATTTTTTATTTTCTGCATAGTAAGTATATGTAATGTATTCCCTTCAGGATCAATAAAGTTCTATCTGCTGCAATAGAAGATCTGTCTGTCTGTCTGTCTGTCTATCTATCCATTTGTCTGTCTATCTATCGATCTGTCTGTCTGTCTGCCCATTTGTCTATCTGTCTGTCTATCTGTCTACCTGTCTGTCTATCTATCTATCTATCTATCTGTCTATCTATCCATTTGTCTATCTATCCATCCATCTATCTTCTGTCTATCAACATTCCATATAAACTCAGAAGACTCGTGTAGGTTCACTGGTGGTTCTGGATAGTAAATAAAATGTCTATATTTGTGGTGTTGTCATGGCGACCCCTTGGTTCCTATCACCACCACTGTAAAGACATCTGAACCATTTCACACCAAACCACTCTGAATCTCTCTGTTTACATCTCAAACACTGAATTCTTCTTTAACTGAAATATAAAAGTGAGAAAACTCTTCTTATTAATAAATTTACAGTGAAAAGAGGACAAAGTGTCCCCAAACTTGTGGGGCCATTCTATGGGCTACATGAGTGCAGCTGTTACTCTACAGCCAAATCTGTTCCATGTGGTCCTTCATGAGCTAAAACTGAGCCAAAGCTGCCTTTGAAATGGATCTCTCTGTCTGACCCCAGTTACACATTAACTCTGAGTATTTTCAGTGATTCCAATGTCCACGTAGGCAGGGAGGGGCCAATAAATCCAAATGTAAGCAGTGATTCAACTCCTACAATGAGGACCACTCGAGCCTGTGAGGGGCGGAGCAGCGCACATTTCAAAATTTTTAACATCCACTTCAAAGCAAACTCACTTTAATGTGTGTTCCCAGGTTTAAGGACCCAGATATAGAGTTACAGACTTTACTGCGTCCAGCCTCGCCGATAAACCGCGGGCACTACCGTCTCAGGCTGCGTTCACATCACCATTCTTACTGACCAACTCCAGATTTTCACTCATATTCAAACTTTATTTTAAGGATAACCTATTGGGAATTAATTAAGGTCTTTTTCTTTGGTTAGTACAGCCCAAATTAGACACCTCTAAATGTTGTATTTACGGTGAATTAAGGTTTATTCACTATAAACTGTATTAGTTCATACTTCCTGGTCTGTTATGTGAAATTCACATAATAATTACATTATTAATTGTAATAATGCTCAATAAACATTTTGTTAAGCGCTTGTCATGCAAGTCATTGAGCATGAATTATTATATAGATTCACATCCTATAAATGTAAAAATTAGCATTTGGTAACTATAAGTTCTAGATAGAATCAAGTGGTTTCTGGCGTTGATTGCAGTAGAGTTAATACATTTATTTATAGGTTTATTTACAAGTTTATTAATAAGTCAATCAGATAAGTCACTAATTTCAACACATATTTAAAAGTGCCGTTTAGTTATTACTAATTAGATATGAAAAAGTTTTCAGTAAGTCAATATGTATCACAAATTTACAAGTTTAATCACACATTTCAGGCCTATTTATTAGTATTTTGGTCGGCAAAAAGATTGAATACTTCACTAATATGTCAGTACGTGCTCCATATAAAAGTTCCATGACTAAAACTGCACTTTAGAATTTGGTTCACATCTTTAAGTATTAGTGATTATTAAAATCTTATTATTTCTTAAGTACTGAACTGCAATAAAACTACAAACTTAACACTACCTAAAATCTATATGAATCAAATTCTGACAATTATACACTAAGATGTTAACTTACATAAAGTATATGTAAATTTATTAAATTATTTCGCTAATATATATTATTTTAATAATACATGCTCAATAAATTGCATAACAATGTCCTAACAAAGTATTTATTGTGCATTATTACAGCTGATAATGCAATTAATAGTGATTTTTACACAAAGACCTGCAATTATGTACTAATACAGGTCATAATGAATAAAGCTTAATACACAGTCAATAATCTGTTTAGAAATGTTCACTTTGGGCTTTACTGAGAAAATAATAAGACCTTAATAAACTCCCAGTATGTGTGCCTTAAAACAAAGTGACACCTCAGTCTTTCTGCCTTCATTTTCATGATTGTAATAGAAAAATATCAGTCAATAAGGAGGGTAAATGCATTGATGTAAGTGTTAGAATCAATTATAATACTATTCAATGAAGTGTGCTCTTATGCGTTTGGCCAAGCTAAATTTTGGGGCTGTTTTCATATGTAAAAAAAAATTGTGTGGATTTTACTGTCTATATTCCACTACAGTGCAAAGAGTTCCTCCAGATACATTCATGTATTCAGCGTATTTGTAAACATCCCTCTGAATCTTACCAAAATAATCAGATTAAACTGGTGAAATTTGAGATATTGTGATGCATGAGCCCTATTCGGACAGGATTAGATGCCCAGTTCGGCGGTAGTTTCCTCATCTACTGCCGTTTCTCTTTAGGTCAGACGTGCACGAAGGATAATGGATGACAGGAAAGCATGAAGGATACTCCAGTACATCACTACCAACAAATTACGCTGAGAAACAGATAATTGTAATTGCTGAACTACAAAGTGCACCTATATATTGATGCTGTCCAATGAAAACCACGTATCTCCATTTTTGTTGATTTTTATGTTTCTACATCATTTCAACACCCCAGCCGTCCTGTACGTTGTGTGAAAATGTCATGGTGAATGGACCAATAGAAATGCTTTAAAATCACTTAGAATAAAATCTCTTTACATTGACTTACATTGAAAGGTAAGAGGGTTTTTGCCTCCTCCTGTAAATATTTTGTAGATAATTGTTTTTCTTTGAACAGCGACAACACGGTAAGTGGAGCTGATTAAACTGACAATGAGCGCGTATACATGCACTCAATAATCCGATCATAATTGGATTTCTGCAGTTATCTGATTATTCAAATGGTCATGTAAACACCATACTCCGATCTAGATTCCGATTAAGAAATCCGATAAAGAGAGCTGGATTTTAGCTTAGTCATCCGATTTCTCAGTGCATGTAAACTCTTACTTTGATTTCTACGGATTTCCCAGTCTGCGCATGCGCGAGATCAGACGGTGGATGTCACACAACGCAGCAAAACACTGTTGAAGCGACGCTGAAACCAAACACGAAATAAAGGATGTAAATATTCTTAATCTTCTAGATGATTTGAGTTCATATTTTCAGTTTTACGTTACGTTTACGTCGCGTCTTCTTCTGCGAGTTTATTGGCTGGTTGTAAAGCAGAAATCTCATTACTGTCTGACTGATGTAGACCTGGAGTTTCCCCATTATCTGATTACTCAAGAGCATGTAAACGTGTTGATCGGATTAATGACAAAATCTGATTTTCTGCAGTTATCAGATTATTGAGCGCACGTAAACGCACTGTGTGTGTAGATACAGAGAAGGTGGACCTAAAAAGTGTCCAGTAACTTTATATTATAATAACACATTCTAGTCTTGATTTTAACATGACAACATGATTCTAACTCTGCTGTTCGCATGTTTTGCATTTCTTTTAATTGTTTATATTAGCAATTGTAATTTCTGTCTTTTGTAAAGTACTTTGTGAGACTTTGTTTGAAAAAGTGCTATATTATTATTATTATTATTATCATCATTATTTTCAGGGCATTTTCACTCCCCATTTGAGTCAGTGTGCTCTCTCTTACCAGCTCCTTCGACTCCTGGAGTGAATCCTCCACATCAGAGAAGCTGAAACTGGCCACGGTGATGAACTGACTGACCACAGACACAAACTTATCACCAGAGTCTGCAGGACGGCCCTTCTGATACTCCAACTCCTGCACATACATAGAACAAATTAAAGAGCCAATAATAAACACAGAAGGATAGAAATTCAGTTTTTAAATCTGATTTCACATCAGACGCTTTCAGAGGACACGCAGATTCATACGGAGACATTCAGGGAGAAAAACTTTATAACGTAAAATAAATAAAATATGAGAATGACTCACTGCCTCCACGCTCTTCAGGCCGCTGCGCAAGTTGTTAATGTCTTTCTCCAGTTCAGTCATGCTAAAATAGAGAGAACACAGAGAGGCTGAACACAAAGACTCAACACTTTAAATCAAGACGATGATTCTGACAGTTTTCCTAGTGAGGGAGCTGTTCTTAGAGGAGCGTACTTGACTTTGGCCGCTTCTGAAACGTTCTGCAGGTCCTCCTGAAACAGCGCCACCTTGGGGTACTTCTGCTCCAGGATGGTGATCAGGTAGTGCAGCAGAGTGATGTTCCTGCACACAAACACACTGATGCATCAGCATCGGGGCAGAAACGCTGGTGATAAAAGGCGAGTATTGGGCCTCGTTCTCCAATATCCTCTTTAGTTAGTTCTTAACTGTGTTCTTGAGAAAGAGCCTGAGAAAAAGTGCTGTAGATGGTTCTACATAGAACCTTCTTGAAAAGGGTTCTATATAGCACCCAAAAGGGCTCTTCTATTGTTACGATGTCAAGTTTTTAACAACAGAAGTAACCTTTTGGGTGCTAAATAATAATAATAATAATAATAATAATAATAATAAATGTGTATTTATATAGCACCTTTCATACATTAAAAACGCAGCTCAAATGATAAATGACTGCACTGACTGTGTCTGATCCACTCAGACCAGCACAACACACACTAACACACCACCACCACGTCAGTGTTACTGCAGTGCTGAGAATGATCCACCACCCAAATAGTACCTGCTCTGTGAGGGTCCATGGGGGTCCTGACCACTGAATTACAGTCTGTAACTGTAGAACTACAAAGTGCACCTATATAATAAGTGGAGCTGATAAAATGGACGATGAGCGTAGTAACGAGGTGGTCATGATGTTATGCCTGATCAGTGTATAAGCTGAGGCAGCTTCTGCTCTCAACACAGCATGAGAACAGCTCGCGCCACCAAGGCCAAAAGCCAACGCAGCCCACATCGCTGGACTCCCTGCACTAGGTCAGTTATCAGTGATCCGCTCTGCTGAGCTCTGGGGTCACTCTTACCTGTCGATGCTGGACTTGGTGTCAGCGATCTTGTTGAGTGAAGACACCTTGAAGCCGTAAGCGTTTCCTCTCTGGCCTTTGTTCATGTAGTTCCCCAGAGCCAGCACCACTTCCAGAAGCTGCCGCAGGTTACGGCTCTCGAGCACCTCTTTAGACGCCGTGCTTAGAGCTGAAAAACAAAAACACAGCCATCGTTCATTCAGTGTTAAAGTGATAGAACTACACTAATCCACTGTTCTTCCCTCACTCCAAATGTAGCCTGTTAGCCGAGGAATGTTTAGTATCTGAAGTCTGCTTCTTTCCGCACAGCATCTACAGGGACAACGTAGCTAACAAGTAATGGAAGCTTATAGCCCACAAGTTAGCATGGTGCTAACTGCATAATAATATAGGCCCAATCCCATTTCACCTCTCGCCCCTACCACTTAGCCCTACCCCTCCGTTTTGCCTGTTCATGTCTAGGGGTAGGGTGTCCCGATTCTCTTTGAGATAGAGGGGTAGGGTGAAGTGTTAAGGGATACATGGCCCTCCGAACGGAGGTTTTGAGGAAAGATGAAAAACCAGCAAGATGGAGCACAAGAGACCAAAGAAACCCACAAATGTGAGAATTTTCTCTGTTAAAAATACGATAATCATTGTATTATTTTAGTTTAATGTCGTTTTATTGTACTATGGTCTTTTTTTTCATAACAAGCAGAAAAAAAACACTAGTACTATGCTGATGTCTCGGTAACTAGCTGGCTAAATTTTCCCATTCCACCTTAAATTTGAAAAAATCGAGCAAGAATCTGACTTCAGCCTCATATCACTGAAGAATTAGGGGTGGGTGATAATAAATAATTGCCCCCTCTTTGAAGGCATATGATGCCCTAAATGTAACTAAAGCCCAGCAGTGAGGAGCTGAACTTTACCCTCAGATCCAAGGGGTTAGGGTGACACTCGAAAACAAGGGGTAGGGCTAAAAATATGAAATGGGACTGGACCATAGTCTGAGATTTGCCTATATGGTTTGTGACACTGTATGGTGTTATGTGCAAATATGAACTAAAATACAGCCAAACATCAGGCTTTAAGAATGTTTTTAGCAACGCTAATGTTCTTTTTGCCCATGTTTATATGTAACATCATGTCATGCAGGATCAGAACTGACAATCAAGTCCATTAGAGATTAGGGTTGCCAGATAATTGTGGGGTGACGGAGGGCGGCACGGTGGCGCAGTGCGTAGCGCTGTTGCCTCACAGCGAGAATGGCCTGGGTTCGATTCCCAGCTGGGACGACCAGGGTTGTTTCTGTGTGGAGTTTGCCTGTTCTCCCCGTCGTCTGCGTGGGTTTCCTCCCACAGTCCAAAGACATGCAGTCA